GCCACAGGGTTCTGTACAACCAGGCCCAATTCTTAGCAAGGAAAAACAAGCAACAGGAACAGATTTCTTCAGAGAGCCTAAGCTTCAGTAATTAACACTGCAGGAGTGGGAGGGTTTTTTTAGATTTATTTATTTCACAGACAGAAGTTGCTGGAATTCCCCTAAATAACCATATCTCCATCAGGCTGCATCTATTGCTAAGGTACCAAAACCTTTGACACCCACTTGCTCGCAGAAGGGCTTACCAATATGATGCATTTTGGTCTCGGAAAGCTGGTGAGTCTCAAAATCTGCTTTATTCCTTGGAGCACTCACTAGCTCGCTGAGTGCTCGGGAGGCACGACTGTGGGTTGGCCCTCCCTCAGTATAGCTGGGAGCTTTGATTATCATCAGGTGATGCTTATTACTTAACAGCAGTGTTCTGAGTCAAGTTAAATAGCAAATAAACATAAGGAAAGGGATTGCTAAAGAACAAAATAAACCAGAAAACTCAAGGCAGGAGATTCTGCTTTCAGCATCCCACGCCCTGATAACTCCAAATAAGCATGAGAAAAAGTCTTTTTTTTTTTAAATTGGCACTGATAAACATACTATTTATATAGGTTTAAGAGAAGTTATAATAATGATGATGATATCAGCTTCCACAGCAGAATACTGCAGTGCCTTTCACACTGGTTGGTGGAGAGTTGTTGTGTAGATGGCTAAACAGAGAAGTTCTGTTCTATTTACAAAAGAGTTTCAACTTTATAATCCTTGGGTTGCAAATTCATAACAGTTATGAAAATCAGACCTTTCTTTAGAACATGATCATACTCATTGTTACACAACACTAGCTATTTTCATAATAAATCTTCTGTATCACTTGTTTCACTTGGAACAATCTTTCCCCACAAACTACTGTTTCAAAGACATCCTAAGTTGAATAACAGGTGATAGATCATACTCATATAATGTGAGCTGTTCTAAAGGCAACAGACCAGATGTACTGCAAAAACATCAGAAGAAACTCTGTGCAGTGTGAGATAAGGCCCAGCAGATCCACTCCTTTTATTAAAATGAACAGTTTGTGGGGAAATGGTATGACCTTCTGTGCACATCAGAGTTCTGCCTGAGTAAGGACTGTGGGACAGGGACCTTGGACACAAAACATACCACAAAAATGTCATCATCTGCTTGAATCGTTAGGATTTATCTATGATTACTCTTTGGAAAGATAGTGTCATTAAGCTGAACTAAAAATTATTAAGGTCAGTTGTGTATGTGTACATACTTGGCAAGGTCTGTGGAATTTCTGATACAAGGTCGATAGGTTAATCACCAAGAATACAGATTTCATGTTTATAACCACAAAGAATATAGTCTAGATTAGAATTCAGACAGGCAGAAACTACCTACCTTGAAACCCTTAAAATGCCTAGAGCTATTAGAAGAAGGCAGACATACGCTTACCCATCAGACACTATGCCCTCTGCGATCTCACACACCAGCACAAACAAGAGGATAAAAGTCAGTATCCAGCGTAAATTGTGGCCAGGAAAATGAAGCCATGTGCTATGATGTATATGTACTTTGGAACTCTGACTCCCCCATCCTAAACAGGAAAAGAAAATTATGAAGAGCTTTCTAAACAACAAGAGTAACACACAAAGCTGCATACAGAAAAGCATTCATGTAACAAAGTAGTGAACTAAAGTTGACACAACTGAATATTTTAAGAACTGTGTTCTCATTGCTTCATTTCATATGGAATAAAATCGACAGCGCAGACAGGGCACAGCCTTAAATTCCTATACTTTTAACAAGTTACTATCAAGTAATTACAAGCATTAAATGTTTTTCAATACATTAACAATTTAAATGAACAATAAACGAACACTGACAAATACTGGCAAACACTATAATACATACTTTTTTTTTCACTTCAATACATTTAGTTGAAGAATTTACATGTTAACTTATTTCTGTCTTTTTTAAAAGTAACTAATTCTCTTCATCTAGATCAAAATTAGCAATACTGAGAAAAGCCAGATAAACACAGATTACCCTAAGCAGTTCTTCAGCTGACCCCGTTTTAACAGTCGTGCTGTAATTTCAGCACCGGACCTTTTATGATAAACAGAAGTGAGTGTTCAATCACACAGCTGGGGCCATGGCTGTCGAGAGGACAGACCAGGCTGAGCAGAACAGCACTCAAAGTAGCGACAGCCACATGTATTAAACCACCGGGCCACCTACTGGTAACCCCAGTTTTATGTTACTAAATAATATCTGCTGCAGATACGGCAAGAGTTACAGCCACCGGGCAGTTCTCCTCGTTATGCCAAGGACTAAGGGGGCTGTCCGGCTGCTGTAACTCTTCAGTAATTGCAGGGAGTATTAACTGATAACGTAAGATTTATTTGCCAGATTTTCTAGTTTTTAATAGCATGTTGATTCTTGCTTCCCGCGCCGCTAGTCAAAACCTGCAGGCGAGCCCTGCAACCCC